TAAGGCTTTTAAGAGGACAACACTAATAGGAAGAAGGAAGTGAAAAAAGAAAACTTGTATTTCTCAAATTCAAGACTTTACACACTTTTTGGCTTGTTACAAAATGGAGGGCACTACCCCTTTATATAGTGTTTACAAGAAGATTCTAGTCCACACATTTTCTAGAGACACCTAGACCACATATCAAGATATTTTCCTAGAATTCTCTAGATATTCTTTATAAAACTACATATCTTACTTAGATATATATATAGATTTTTCTAGTAGATATTTATATAGATTTTTCTAGATAATGCTTCTAGAAATGCTATACATGTTGGGCCTTTTAATTGATTTGGGCCTATAAGCAAAATCCTTAAGCCCATATTATTTAGTCCAAAAATCAAGTTTACTACTTAACAATTTCAGCATTCCACGATCACCTTAAGGGTTTCGAAAATTGAAGGATCTTGGGATAGACCAAAGCGCCGCTTACACATGAAATTACTAATTTGCGTTGGCACTTTGGTATGTATTCATCAGCAGTGTTTCATTATTTTTCGGTCAAGAGTTTGCTCGACCCAAGATGTAAAATCTTCATTTTTTGAATCTAATTTTTTCGGTTTGTCAAATAGCTTGATGCGTGGGGTACTGATGGGGAGACTGTGCAAATCAAATTTCCATGGTGGACGAAAATGTAGAAAGTGAATAAAGTACTGAAAGTGCAGTGTGTGATGTGAGTGCAGAAAGTGATGGAAGCGATTGTCCGCTGGAGTGATCACAACATGTGTGTTCATTTGTTACCTTCCATATATAGTTCTTTTCAATAAGGTTTGCAATAATTATGGTTTGTAATAAGGGTATAAACCCCCTTGAGTTTACCTGTATAATAAATAATAAGAATCGTGGAGCAGACTCCCATTCTTCTTGATTTTTAACTCTTTGTTTCATTTGTGTTGTTGAGTTCACATCATTAGCGTTGTTGGTTGCATTTTACATCTCCGTTTGGCTGGCAATTTATAAATGGTTTATAAACATAGTCAAAATTAAACATCCGTAATTGTTGCACATTTTTTATCCGCATATTTTTTTGGAACCCACTATTATTCTTTTTATTATTCTTCTTTAGAAAGATCAATAAATTTGTCAAACGGAGGATAAAAAACTCCGCAAAACACAAGGGAACAAATTTGTTAGGTCCACCTTTTGAAATAAAAAGTAGGATTGGGCTCTGAAAGTGGTTTTGCGGAAACAAAGTCTTCATTCAATATTTCAAACAATTGCAATGAGACTATAAGTACAGAATTATTGTCGGATTGAGAGAAAATCTCGAAACTGTGTTCTTCTATTCAATCAGGAGCCTGCTGAAGAAATAGTTGCTGCTGGCAGTTAAAGACCTAAGTCTATGGTTAATTGAAATTGAATAATTGATCTCTAAACTCATGGAAATGAATAAAATGAAACCAATAACTACAAATAAAGATATAAAATAAAAGGAGAATAGATATTAAAAATTGCTAAAACATAGGATAGAATCAGTCGAATACATCTTCATCATTCTCCTCAAGTTGGAGAAGATTTAAGCTCGAATCTTACATTGTATCTACGTACAAACAATGTCTTGCCGCAATAGTAACGAAAATTGATTGAATGAATTCAGCCGCTTTGTGGTTAATTGTGGGGGTGATAAAAGGCAGGTAAATTTGGTAAGGTGTTGAGAGAAATCGCTTGAGAAATGGCCTCGAATTAATGACCTCTCTAATTATTTGATTTATGGATACACGATTAAATTGCTAGTCTCTAGCAGCTAGCAATTCAAGTCCCAATAAGAAACATAGCATTAAATTATGGTAAAGAAACAGGTAAAACTATTTGAATACCTCAAACAAAGAGCTAGTAAAAGATCACAAATGCTATCAAGATTATTTCAGTTATAACCTAAAAAAAAATCATGTGTGCGTGCCGAAATCGCAACCTTCTTGCTGCAAACCACAGTAAATATAGGCTTGAGAATTGCTCCAACTAGAAACTCAACTCCATATCCACAGGAGTAACTGAATAATTTAGCGTTATGGAGTAGTCGCGTGGAGTTAAAAAAACAAACAAACCCTCAGTTGTGAAAAGGTAAATAGAGGCAGTCGTGTTTCTGAAATTGTGAGCTTTGGTTGGTGTTTTCCTTTCTTCTACTCCTTCTTTATGAGTTGCAACCATTGTCACTACCTTTGTGGGGGTAATCCTTTATGGAATCGAGTCCGTTAAGCTAGGAAACAAGAGGTCATACGAGTATTTTGGGTAAAGATTTCAATCGTTGGAGTGACCTAGGGTTTGATCAAACTGGGCCTGCTTTTTGGAATTATTGAAGACCATTTGGGAGCTATTTTGATCGACAATTTGCATCGGAGCAAAGGTTGGTACAAAGCAATAGACAGTCGAAGATCATCGAAATTCATTGAACCGAAATTGTAAATCCATTTTTTGGCTAATCTAAATTCATGTGATGAGGAAAAGCTGCTGTATCGATACATAAGGCTTGTGGTGGCCTCGACATTACGGCGCATGAAGACCACGTGCGGGCACTACTGTTGCATACGAGGGCACGCGGTTTCTTTTTTGGGAAAACGTACCGCGGAAAGATTGTTCCTGGAAGTTTTACAGACATGCTGGTGGTGTTTTATTTTTCTCAAGAAACACGCTAGTTGAGAATAGTTTTGCCCTTGGTCGTTCGATCGCCATTTATTGTTGCTACAGTTGTTGAAAGCTCAAAGAAGAATAGTACTGGCCTTAAAGCTTTTAAAAGTCCACATCTTTCGTTAAATTTATTGATCGACAAATTGGTTCGCTCAGTGTCGTGTTCTTTCTATATTATTATTGCAGTCGAGGCTATCGTGTGGGATAGCCAATTACTTTTTGCATTAGAGGTCATCATGTAGGGTGACATTAGGTGTGTGGAGTAACCATTTCTTGTTGCTAATCGTGTTACTAGGTGGCTACTTCTTATTGGTAATTTGATGACTGAATTCGATTAAGGACCACGTTTTTTTTTTTATTTTGTCCATGTGCCCCTTAATATTAGCCTGAAGCCAGCCTAGATATGGGATTAGTTCGCATTTGGATATTCGAACCCTTTCCCTTTCTCTTTGCTTTGTCTTTTATTTTATTTTGTCCACGATATGCTTTTGCCCATGGATCGCTCTTTGTAGATTAGCAAATAGTCCCCCAAGTCCGGTTTTACTATTTATATTGAATCTAGGACTTTAAACACTGTTTTTAGTTGATGAGGCTATTGAGAGCTTCCTTTTCTACTCAACCTTTCTATTGGTCAAGTTGAATGTGGGAGACTTATTAGCCATTAGTTTTGATTGATAAGCGTAAATGAGCGTTGTTCGCTTTTTTCTTGATGTATGGCTTGCGATCTTCTTGGGCGCTTGGATTGCACGTTATCTATCCCGGGATCTGAATAATCACCTATTTATCTTTAACGGTTAATATCCTTAGTTAGAATCTATAAATATGTCATTACTTCAGTTGGTCTCCCTTTCGTGCTTCTTTACTTCTTTTGAACAGTGATAAGATTTCTCATTTTGAGCTTACAGTCTCAGCCTCTTTTCGTGCCATGCCTTCTCATGCTATTTTCTTCTAATGCATCTGGTGATTCAGGTTCAAGTAATATGATATTTTTTAGGTATCAATTAGATCAAATGTGGGTGTTAGACCTCCATTCCAGAGGTGGAGGTATTCCGGTAAGCTTTTTCGCAAATGACACATTCGCACTATCGTCTCTCTATTGATATTTTGGTTTCTTTATCTTGCGAGAAATGATGTGAAACATAATGGAATAAGCATGGACTCTCGAAAGATCATTTGGAGATTCTACCATATGATTGCACTTCTTCGCATGGGTCATCTATTCAGGCATGTTGGCTGGTGGAGAGGCATGGATATTGCCGCTCTCTTTGGCATGCCGTTGAAGCTTCCTCCTTCGCCCTCCATTTCCTAGTTTTTTGGCACACTCCATCGATGAGATTTTACAAGATCAGCATTGACGAAAACATCATGGATGGAATTGCGAGTGGTGGAGGCATTATTCGGGTCGCTGCGTTCGAGCTTTCTTGACATCTTATGGGGACTATACCATCCTGGAGATGGTATTTTACTTGCTCGATGGCTAGGATTATCTGATATGTGGATAGAGACTGATTCACCTATGTCTGTTCATTGTATCACCAAGGGTAGAGGTCTATGCGTGACATAGATTATTTTGAGACAGGTCCGACACGATCTTTCTTTGGTTTGCGACTTTATCTCCTAAATTTACCTAAAATGAAACTAGGTTACGAATTCACTTGCATTTTTAGGTTAGGGCCTGTGACATTATCAGGAGTATGGTCCTTTAGACCTGCCACGCGATCTTTGAGCTCTTGTTTAGATTGATAGACATTGTTTTCCAAACATTAGAGAGTAACAGTCTAATTTTCGTTTGCCTGCATTGTATGGGAAGTAGTACTTCTCCTATTTTTCCTTTCCTTCACTGCATCATTTGTTAAGATGTCTATGCATCATTTTTTTTAGTGCTCTTAACGACAAAGTTAATTTTTCTATTTGGCAACAAAGAATTAAAGGAAATTTGATACGACAAAATGTGTGATAACTCTTTTCAAGTACTATGGATGAGGATCAGAAAAAGGAATGCGATAAACTCGTATATACCTCTATTGTCTTGCATTTTTCACTCCGTTTTGCATAAAGTGGGTAAACATGATTGAACTGAAAAACTTTGAAAAAAGTTGGAAGTAAACTTTTCTTATTCGAAAGTTTCTTTAGTCTTAAAATTGATCCCCCAAAGGGATTGGATGTCAATCTTGACGTTTTCAGTAAACTCGTGTAGGATATTACTTATTGAGGTGAAAAGTCTTGTAAAGAATATAAAGCTATAATCCTTTTTAATGCTATTACTGACATGTATAAAGAAGTCAAGAATGCACTCGAACATGGGAGGGAGACTCTGACACCTATAGTCATTGATTCCCAAAAGATGAAGAGAGACGAGAACTGGAAAAAAACTAGAGAAATAATGGAATGATTCACCAAACTGGAGGTATGTCTCGAATTAGGGATGGAAATTGGCAAAGTAGTAATGGCAGGAAGAAGGGTAGAGGTCACTCTAAATCACAGGAAAATTGAAGGGGGAAGAAATATTATGGTTGTGGTAAATTAGGACATTTTTTTAAGCGATTGCAATAAAGAGAAAAAGCATATCGAGAGATAAGAGAGGTATGGATCGGAATGATGCAAATGTAATAATCCCTAGAGATGAACCTGTTGAGGTGTACATGTCTTAAGTTCTGAACCAACCGAAATTAACCTGCCCATGAGCTCCCATATACGAGTAGATTTTTGACTTTGGTACTTCTTGTCATGTTATATCAATAAACATTAGTATGATAATTTGCATGAGCTTGATCATGGACTTGCAGCTGCATGAGGTGGAATCGCATATAAGATCATATATTAAGAAAAGATCAATACATTCCATACATGGGTAGGAATCTAATTTCTCTAGGGAGTTAGGAGATACATGTGCTTACTGTTCACTTGGTGATAAAGTTACTAAAATTTTTAAAGGAGCACTTAGTGATTTTAAAGCTACTAGGAGAATTGGAATATAAATCATGCATGCTAAAGCGATGAATGGTTTAAATTCCACTATCACCTCCATTGACACTGATCACAAATAAAAGTGGCACAATAGGTTATCTCACATTAGTGTTAAGGGACTTAACTTCTTTAAAGATAAGATTGTGTTTGGTAGGGATCAGGCGTTTGACGCTCCATTTTTTCTATAATTGTGGGCTAGGTAAACATCACAGGATGCCATTTTCATCTAGCATGTGTAAAACATCTGGAGCGTAAGAATACATTCATACTGATTTGTGGGGTCTTGGGAGCAATC